AAAATAGGTGTATCGGATGAATTAAGTTAATGATTAATTTAAAGAAAAAAAATCTTATTCGCTATATGTACATAAAAATATCTAAATAAAGGATTAATTAATTAATAAAAAATAATTTTTGTGTCATTATATTCCCATTAGATTTTTTCACTCATTTATTCTTTTCAACCAATACATTTGATTCGACGAATCAATTAATTAATCGAGATGATTCAAAGCTCCCCTTTTTTTCAATCATCCCAGTACATAAAATAAATATTAAAAGTAATTAGCGCAAATTTATTTAGTGACATCAAATAGGGGGGTTGGTGCGAGACGAAACACAAAAGAAAAACTTTTTCGTCCTTCTTCATTTCTTGTCATTATTTTTATCGATTAGCGCGTCATCGAAGCATCTCTTCTATACAATCTCGATTTTTTTAAAATACTCTAAACTCTCTGACACTAACACTTATAGTAAAAATTCAAACATCTCGAGGGGGGCTTAAAACTACAGAAAACTTTTAAGGTTTTCCATAATTTTAGCGAATTAAAACTATTCCTCTACAAATTTCCTTGAAAAGATCTTTTCTCGCTCAGTTCCCAACTTGTTCATTGCAATTTCCATGAAGAACTTAACTAAAAACTAAATTTGAATCTAGAAAGTTTTATGAAAGTGGAAGAGCCAAAGAAAATCATGAAAAAATGAAGCTAATTGAACACATGATATAATAATTTCGAACAGTCTTATTTATTTAAATTTTTTAAATTTTTTTCTCTCTTTTTCTTAGTGTTATGTAAAAGAATAGTTTGTATAAAAGTTATAATTCTTCATTAAAAATACAGTAGATACAAACTACTTGATTAATTAATTAATTAATTAATTGCTAATAATTACTATATTACAGTTCTTTCTTTTTTTTATTGGATTTGTTCAGCTATTTTTTTTTCTTTCTTTTTAATCTTTATCATTAAATATTTACATTTAAAAATAAGTTATCGTAGAAAACGAAATCACTAAGGTACAGTTTTGGCCAAAAGTTATTTAAACATAAAAACGAACAAAAATAATCGAATACTGATTATTATTAATTTTATTATGATTTATTTCTTTTATGTAAAAATGGTTGAAATGTTTTAAATCTAAACGACAAAAAAAACTCAGTCAATTTGAACTTTAAATTAAAATTAAATAATAAATTAGAAACGCATGATCTTCAGTCTATATTTATGTATTACGTTTTGAATTTCTTTTATTAAATGAGCAAAGTGCATTAAAATGAGATGATTTGATGATTTTTGATCTTGATTTTAATTTTAATTTTTAAGTACGTCATATTTTAACGAACACTGTGCGTATTGCTCAAGCATTGGAAATAAAAATTTGTACTTTACGGTTATATTTTAATCAAGTTTGATTAAATAAAATTTAATTTCTCATTAAATTTAAAACGTAGAGAGATCATCACAAAATTTTACGACAAGCGAAAAGAAAATTCCGTTTTGTTTGTTATTGAACCGCTTGAACGTCTTTAACTTACTTTTTTCTCTTTTAAACATAATTTAAGTTAGAATTACACTAAATATCGGAAGATTTAAAGTTTTTTTTTTTAATTATTTAAGGTTTATCAATTAAAAATATGATAAACTAAGCTTTTAATAGTAAATAATTTTTAAGAAATAACCCAAAAAGGAAATCAATTAAATGGCACGGAAGCACAAACAAATTTTTTTTATTATTAAAAACAATTTAACGCATTTATTTTTTTTCTTAATTATTTGGAGAAATGAAAAATCCTTTATATACACGTTTTAATAGCAAATGATAGTTAACCAACTCCTACTTTGAACATAATGTGGTACACAAAATAAAGATATATTTAAAAATGGGAAAGATTTTCAGCAAAGCTTGCAAATAATGAGACATAAACGAACTGCTTGGTGCAATGACGAAGAAGAAGACTGTAGAGAGTCTATCTATTGGACAAAACCAAGGAAAAATGCCAAAAAGGGACAGGGATCTTAGTTATTAACTGTAAATTCTAAACTGAGGCAATTAAGTTGCAGCAAACAGAGAGGAATGAAAAGAAATCGTTTCTCAACACTTAAAGTAAAGAGGATTGATGATGATAATAAGAAAATCCTATAAAATGAGTCCAAATTCGATGGAATTATCTCAAAAATTAACCGAGATATTAATATTTTTAGTATTGTTGCTAACTTCGCGTTTTTCAAAACTATAAAGAATTATAGAAGTGGGAAAGTAAAGTACTTGAAACAAATAAAGTACAAGAATGGAAAAATATTGGGGACAGAAATAGAAGTAATAAACAGATGGAGAGAACACTTTGAAAATATCTTAAATTCAAAAAAAGGCAAAAACAAGAAAAAAGGGCAATATTTAACCCGTTTATGCCAACAGTTTTTCTCCCCTTCACGCCTTGTTGTTAGTCACAACGTGATTTTGCAGGCAAAAATGTAAAAAATGACTAAAAAAAGTGACATTTTCTATTTTTAAATTAATATTATCAATTATTTTGCGTTGTATTTGTTACCCTAACAATTCCCAAAACATTTCCATATATCATCTATAAAATAAATACGATAAGAACAAAAAACACTTTTTCCCAAAAGTTCCAATATTGGAACTATGGGCTTCATAAAGATTTTTAATAATTTCATAACTGAAGAACTCATCAAGTATTAGAAGACGAGGTTTTTTGGGTTGCTGATGTTTTTATCACTCCTCCTGTTTCCATCACTCATTATGTTGAAAGTGCTGAAAATAGTGGGAATGAAGACTTCTGCAACGACATCAATAACTGGATGGTCGACAGCTTCAAGCGGAAGCTATGGCGAAAATTACAAATCAAAAACGAACCTTTGTCAGAAAAAAAGAAACTGGCAAAAATCTTATTTCTTGGTTTCCGAACTTTGAAAAACTGATGCAATCAGCACCCATTCCTTTTGATCTGATGAAATGATTTGAACTTGTTCTTGATGATAGTATTATATCATTTTCGGCAGAAACGACGACGTTATATGCCCACAAATCTAGCAATATGGCATTAGTGATTCTACAAGAAATAGATTCGAAATGATAAAAAGATATCTCCACTGTGCAGATAATAATAACCTTCCTCCAGGCGACAAATTTGCAAAACTACAAGAAAATTTTTGAAATACTCAGAACTCCAAAAAAGGCTGAGTGTTGATGAAAGTATGGTTCCATACTTTGGTAAGCACGGGGAAAAATAATTTTTAAAAGGAATGATGAAGTTACAAGATGTGGTGCCTCTCTTGGATATTAAAATATCTTAAATTCAAAAAAAGGCAAAAACAAGAAAAAAGGGCAATATTTAACCCGTTTATGCCAACAATTTTTCTCCCCTTCACGCCTTGTTGTTAGTCACAACGTGATTTTGCAAGATTTTCCAGATACGTGTAGAAAAAGACATTTCTTTCGTAAAAAATGACTAAAAATAGTGACATTTTCTATTTTTAAATTAATATCATTAATTATTTTGCGTTGTGTTTGTTGCCCTAACAATTCTCAACACATTTCCATATATCATATTCCAATATTGGAACTATGGGCTTCATAAAGATTTTTAATAATTTCATAACTGAAGAACTCATCAAGTATTAGAAGACGAGGTTTTTTGGGTCGCTGATGTTTTTATCACTCCTCCTGATGATGGTGTTGAAAGTGCTGAAAATAGCGCCAATGAAGACTTCTGCAACGACATTAATAACTGGATGGTCGACAGCTTCAAGCGGAAGCTATGGCGAAAATTATAAGTCTAGAACTGACTTTCACAATTAGTGATAGCGACACTAATGAAGAGTCAAATAGTGTCAACGAACCTTTGTCAGAAAATAAGTTATCGAAAAAAAGAAACTGGCAAAAATCCGATCTTATTTCCGGGTTTCCGAACTTTGAAAAACTGATACAATCAGCCCAACCCAACCCATTCCTTTTGATCCGATGAAATGATTTGAGCTTTTTCTTGATGATACTATTATATCATTTTCGGCAGAAACGACGACGTTATATGCACACAAAAGGATAAACTTAATTTCCAAATTTCTAATGAAGAAATAAAGTGTTTTTTGGCCATACTATTACTATCAGATGCAAGTGCAGATAATAATAACCTTCCTTCTGGCGACAAATTTGCAAAACTACGAGAAAATTTTTGAAATACTCAGAACTCCAAGAAAGGTCGAGTGTTGATGAAAGTATGGTTCTATACTTTGGTAAGCACGGGGAAAAATAATTTTTAAAAGGAATGATGAAGTTACAAGATGTGGTGCCTCTCTTGGATATTTGATGCAATTTGAACCATACCAAGGAAAGAAAAACCAGCGGATGAAGAAGAAAATGCCACAACCACATAAAATAAGAAAACCAGCATTTGATGTAGTCTGCTGTACTGGGACTGATAAAAATCCTACCAAAACAAACTAGTAACTCATTTACTGATGCCTTCAAAAGTGATAGAAAAGAAGGACAGAGGTTTCTATGAGTATTATACAGATGTTGCCAATAAACTAACCATTACAAGCCGACACGATAATAGAATAGTTCTAATGGTCAGTACTTATAAGAGTGTGTAAGTGTTGAGTTCGAGCTGATAAAGGGCAAGTTGGCGATTTTCAAACATACACAGGAAGCAGAGGATTGCAGTTGAAGCATCTGTGCTACAAACAAACTTCCAACTCAAAAGAAAGTTCTAGAAGCAGAATTTTTGAAAAACTGTATTCAAAGACAAGTTATTTACCAATTTATAGCATTTGCAGGCGATTCATTGCAGCACAAAAATTCAATATCTTAAAATGATATGGACATGCACAGCTTATTAACATTATATTCATTCTGAGAGTACTCCAAAATGTATTCCACACAAATGATGCAATTCTAATCCATTATAACTCGAATTTGAAATGAAAGTGTTGGTCTTAGATTCATCAAGGTTTTTGTATCAACCTGATAAATGGTGTAATTTTTATATACGCANAAGAGTGTGTAAGTGTTGAGTTCGAGCTGATAAAGGGCAAGTTGGCGATTTTCAAACATACACAGGAAGCAGGGGATTACAGTTGAAGCATCTGTGCTACAAAAAAACTTCCAACTCAAAAGAAAGTTCTAGAAGCAGAATTTTTGAAAAACTGTATTCAAAGCAAGTTATTTTCCAATTTATAGGCAATTCATTGCAGCACAAAAATTCAATATCTTAAAATGATATGGACATGTGCAGCTTATTAACATTATATTAATTCTGGGAGTACTTCACACAAATGATGCAATTCTAATCCATTATAACTCGAATTTGAAATGAAAGTGTTGTGTCTTAGATTCATCAAGGTTTTTGTATCAACCTGATAAATGGTGTAATTTTTATATACGCAATAAAGAAGAGAGAAATACAACTAAAATAATTAACAACAAATTATAGAGAGATGAATTTGAGGTTTTGAGTTGGTTTGAACAATGTGATAATGATATAAATAATATTGACTGCTTCAGAAGATAAAAGAAAATAACAAAACTAATCTTAACTGTTCTTAGTATTAGATTTGAAGTTATTAGTTATTAGATAGATATAAATGCACAAAGTAAGCTTGGATGTTGATTTAATAATATTATTAGAACAAAATATAGCATAATACCAATTTTGTGATTACCAAAACACCAAGAGAAGCATTATTAGCCACTTAAATGAACGTAGATGAATCAAGTCTAAGAGATTGAAAAAGAGAATGAGAAGAGTTATGTGTCAATCTCATCTTAATTGATATCCCAATAAATTTGAAATCCCCACAACATTACTTTTAAAAGAAGTTCAAATCTAACTTATTGAAAACTTAAATCTATAACATAAATGTTAAAGGACTTTCCATTTAGATAATAAAAATTGCTTAATATTATTGCGTTAAATCGTTTTAAATCATTATTAAAAAATTATTAAACCGAACTATAAATTTACCTAACTACATACTAAAACCATCTCTGGGCAGTTATTTTTTTGGCAGTGATCTGTTTCCTCACATAAGAAAATTTTATAATATAGACAAAATGATTATTTTTTCTTTTTAACTTGCTACAAAATTCATCTACAAAATTCATAAACGAAAAATAATTAAACGATAATTATAGTAAATAAGAAAAAAATGCATACAAAGTATTACGATAATAACGACATTAACGTATATATATAAAAAAATCACATGTTTTTCTCTTTTTTTCTGTTGATTTAAAAAAAGAAACATAAATCGACGCGCCTTAATAATATTACAAAGTCGCTTAAAAAAGAAATAGTAAGAAAAATTCGAAAAATGTATTCCTTTTAAGCGACATTTAGAACACATGGTGTTTTTGTCCTGTTTTATTATTACAATTAATTTTTTACAAAAAAACTTAAATGAAAATACGATTAACTTAAATTACTCTTTTTTATTAATTGGCCTAGATTAATCGAGCACATTAAACGATTTTTCTTATTCAAGAAAAATTAATATAAAATAAGAAAAATCGCTTTTAGAAGTAGCTCACCATGTACCTAAACAACCAGTTAAATTGTGGCAGTGTCAGTTTGCTGGTTATTTTCTCCTCGAAAACCGGAAGCCGGATCAAAACTCAATTCAATCCCATTTCCAATTTCGACGATTAACTTTTTTTACCTTACCTACGCCCTATTTACTCAGTATACTTACAACACGTCATGTACAATCTACTATACAAAGTGAAAGACTTCACGAGAAATGTACAAAAAAAAAAATCGATTCTATGCTTTTCTTTACGAATCATCAACTCTATTATTTCTTTTTTTCTTTCGTACGTACATTATTACTACATTAAACGACAAAAAAAGAAAATTTCCAAGTGTGTTTTTTTTTATAAAGAAAATAATCGATTAATAATAATAATAACAATAAAGTAAGTGAGATCATCGATGTAGTTCGTAAAAAATAAATTCGTTAATTAAAAAATTAAATAATTAAAATTATTGTTATTATTGCGTATTTACAAACAAAAATTTATGAAAAAATTGATGATTTGATTTAAATTAAGACACACTCGAAAATTTTTGAGTCGTTATTTCTCTCTTCATACTATGTTTATCACGTGACCGCTTTACACGGCTTCCGGCGGTGTTTTCGTCTCGATTGTAGACTCTCTGTTGGTTCTTTAAACAAAAACGGACTTAATTCCACTTTGGCGGAACACTCCAAGTTCGGTATCGACATGTATTTTGTTTGTTGGAAGTTTGATTCATTCACCCATTCATCTGGAACTCTAAAAAAAAATTATTTTAATATATAAATAAATGAACTAATAAATTATTATACATATTTTGAGGGTGCCACCTTAATAAAACTTTTTTCTGTCCATCAGCTTCTATCCTCCTGGCTAAAATTTGACTTTGAAGAGTTAAAGTATCCCCCGGCGCGTTTTCGAATTGACCAAGCGTTCTTTTTTCGGTCAACATTAAAAGTCGATGTTGTAAACCTTCCATGATTCCGGAATCGATAAAATCGAACATGCGTGCTATAAAACGTCGGGGAAATTATTATGTTTATCATTACTTAAAGCGGTTTAAAACAAAGATTCATTTTTTACCAAAATGATGTAAGTTCGATAATTAATATTTTAATTATATCTCAGCCTGTTGATTCTCAAACTCAATAAAAAAATTACACACATATTTGCAACTAATATATTTAATTTTTTTTATTAACCCTCCGCATACTAGCTAGATTAATCTCACATACCATACTATTTCTATAAAATTCTACATCGAACACGATCTCGCACATTTTTGAAATATTTTCAGTTTTTAATCGCTGGGGTGCATGATAACTCATCTTGTATACGGAGGTTTAAGTTTATTAAATATTCTTATTACCTGACCAAGGTTGCCTTCGAAACCTTAATTTTTTCCCATTTCGCTTAAATAACTTTGCAGAATTATTGTCCACTTGCTTCTTCCCACTTCCATTTTGATTGCCATCGGTGTTGAAATGATTATTTACATGTCTTTCCAAAGATAACTAAAAACAAATTAATAGTTTCAATGTTATATCTTTCAAAAATGAACTCCAACTTTGTAAAAATAAAATTGTAGGCCGAGATCCAGCGGTAAATATACAGTATGTCCGTAAAGTAACGGATATAGGCAGTGATGGGCGCTGNACTTATACTCAATTCAGGACATTCAAAGTTGTTTTTCAAGCATTAAAGAAATCGTTAAATACTTTCGAAGAGTATTACGTAAAGGAGAATGGTCGGTAGTGAAAATATAAACATTTCCGAAATATATGTACACTTAAAGCTAATAACACCAGGAATGTGTATAAATTTGTTAGACAGTTAAGATAAAGGCACAAATCGCACGTAGCTCTATGCTGAGATGGAACAGGAAAAATAATATATGATAATGAAATGAATTACATTTGGAAAAATTATTTCCAAAACCTGTTAAGCATAGAAACTGATTTGGAAATAGACAGCAGTCCGTCACACCAAAGAAAGGATAGTGTCATGGAACCTATATAAATCAGNTTGGTGATCAAATCGTCGTCTGACTTGAATAAATTGTAAGATGGCCCTCGTCGTTTTTATTGTTGATCCTATCACTTTTTAACGGTTTATGGGTATCAGCTTCTATTATCAGAACGTCCGTGGTTTACGATCTAAGACTAATAATTGTTCAATCAATTCACATGCCTTATTGGCGGATTTTCTGCCTTACTGAAACATTTCTTAATGATAGCATATCCGACAAGGAGCTACTCAACTCATCTTATCTTCTATCTTCTATCGTCGCGATAGAAATTCAACGGCTTCCACCAAGCGCGATGGTGGCGGAGTCCTTATAGCTGCGAAGCATGGCTTTCATACCGTTCTCATGCCGAGTCTGCAAAGTGGTGCGGACTTGTGGTTGAAAGTTCAGTGCGGTCAACTAATTTTTCTTTTGTGCTGTGTTTATCTTCCTCCTTCTGCTGATGAAGCGCTGAATCTGTTTTTGTCCAGTGTGTCTGCTGTGCGCGATGCCTACCCGGAAATTATGATTGTTATTATAGGTGATTTCNACTTCAGCATCAGTTTCATCTCTCCAAGACTATCCGAAATAAGGACTATATCGTCTGCGTAGCGCAAATTACTTAGGTATTGCCATCAATGTTTATACCGTTTTGGGTCCAATCCCGTTGTTTAAATGCACTCTCCAGGACTGTGATGAACAATTTGGGTTCAACATTATATTGCCTTGTCTTAACCCACGCCCAACGAGTATTCGGTCAGTACTTTCATGCAATTTTACCGTCATTGTAGCATTTTTGTAAATGTAATAAATAAGTAAAAATGAAGAGGAAGATGATGAAATGGACGTTGAAATTGTCGACGATCGAAGACGTCATCAGACGAACCTGTCGTAATTTAGATTAGATCAAGTTATTATGATTATTATCATCAAGCCATTGTTGGACATAGGCTTCCCCTATTCTGTTCCATTCGATTCTATTCTGCGCTGACTGAATCCAATTGTTGAGCTTTGCCACAATGTTGACCACATCATTTGCACCAGTTCTTCTTCATAGGTCTTCATTTCGGTCTTTGCGTTACTTTTAGCCTCCTGGCAGTGGCTACCGTTAATGTTAATGTTTCGGAGCCTTATGTCATAAGCGGAAACACGCATTGATTGAAAGCCTTTCTTTTCAAATATATCGCTCTTGAAGATGTCTCTAAGTTTCCTGTAGGCTGTTCAGTTCGCTTGTTTGATTATCTCTCGATACACGAACCTCATGGCCAAGATACACATCTGTCAACCCTCTCAATCTCATTATCCCCAATGTTGATGGTAGACTTGGGAACAAGATTTGTCATAAATTTTGATTTCTTTACGTTAATATTTAGCCCGACTCTTGCACACACCTCCTTTAAGTCGTTCACCATTANGCTCAATGGTCTTCGGTGGCCAGGGTGTTTCACCTTGGTTCTCTGCTGACGCAGTCCTCAATATTTTGACCCATCTTGACAAGTCCTCTGGCTCTGGTCCGGATAGTATTCCATCTTCCTTTCTGAGGGAGTTTGCTGCCGAACTGTCGACCCCACTTTTTCTTATTTTTTCAAAATCCTTACTCGAAGGTACTTTTCCGCGCGCGTGGAAGACAGCTTTTGTCGTTCCAATATTTAAATCAGGGAATAGACAGTTGATATCTAATTACCGTCCAATTTCTATTATCTCGTCTATTCCAAAGGTTTTTGAAAAAATTGTTTGCGATTACTTTAACCACTCTATTGCTCACTCTCTCATTACTGAACAACATGGATTCTTGTCTGGCCGATCGGTTGAGTCTAACTTAGTGTCTTATGTTAATTTTATTCATTCTACCTTAAATGAGGACTCACAGGTTGACGCAATTTATACCGATTTCTCTAAAGCCTTCGACAAGATTGACCATGGAATTCTTATACAAAAGCTGTCCTCCTTTAACATTCCTGCCGGCATTGTGCGCTGGATAATGTCATATCTTTCTGACAGAAGTCAGGCAGTTAGGATGGGTAGCTTTTTGTCGGACTACAAACCCATCTCATCTGGTGTGCCTCAGGGAAGTCACCTTGGGCCCGCATTATTTCTAATTTACATAAACGACATTTCTTCTTGCTTTAAATTTTACAAATTCCTGCTCTATGCGGATGATAATAAAATATTTACTAGAGTCAGCTCTAGTCATGACTGCCTAAGGCTCCAGGAGAACCTTGATCGTCTACATGATTACTCTCGCGTTAACAAACTTTATTTGAACTATGACAAATGCCAAAAAATAACGTTTACATGGAAACGCTATCCTATTAATTTTAATTACAACTTTAATGGTAGACCTATTATCTCTACTGACAGAGTGAAGGATCTTGGCATTATACTTGATGCCAAATTGAGATATCACCTTCACATCGAAGTCATGGTGGCGAAAGCCCTGCGTAACCTAGGGTTTGTTATCAGAATAAGTAGACAGTTTACCAATTTTACAAGCATTAAATCCCTTTATATGGCATTTGTTAATAGCGTATTATCCTATGGTTCCATAGTGTGGAATCCTATNATTCTCCAGGACTGTGATGAACAATTTGGGTTCAACATTGTATCGCTTTATTTTACTCACAATCAGTACTTTACTATTTCTACTCTCTTCAGTATTTTTATGCAATTTTACCGTCATTGTAGCATTCTTGTAGATGTTATAAACAAGTTTGGTGTATCGATAATCGACGAAACTGCCAACAACTCAATTTAAATCAAATTTTATAAATACCTCTAAATACCCATCTTGGGTAAATACCCCCGGGTATATATCCAGGAAATTTACCCTTGAAAATAAATACCTGGGTATTTAACAACACTGGATATACGTGATAAAATCATTGATTTTGCATAAAATCCCTGAAACGGGTCTAAAGATTTAAATTTTTTGCAATTGTTTGGTGTAGATTTTAAATTTCTTACGCCATTTTTAAACGAGTTATGACGTCATCGATATTTTTTTCAAATGGCAGTCCTCCATTTTTATTACGGAATATGAAAGAGGATCTTTTTCTGAATCTAGTATAGTCAATATTAATATTGGTTACATAAGAAAATTTTCGAAAAAAGTTACTTTAAAAATTAACTTCTTCAAATTTGCTTGACTTGATAAAAATAGCAGTAGCCATGAGTAACTATGGTAACCAATTATTTTAAACAATTTCCTAAGTGTCAACAAATGATTTAGTAAAGCTTGTTAAAGGGTGGTGGCGCACCATCTTCTTGGAATAACTGGCATTAGAAAGTGTTAAAAAAAAGCTTAGTTTTTCAAAAAAAAAATAATATTGTTTGGGCTCGAACTCCAAAATACGTCACTTAGATTTGAGCGTACGATTGGAGCGTATAAAAATCAATAAAATTCCTAGAAAGAGACAATGCTACGAATCTTATGCGCTAGAAGAAAACGGGAGCGAGCGTAACGTCTGTTCTTTCTTCTTACTTAAAACGTCATCTGGAGTCGGTGGTGGGGAATTTTAAACTTTTACATTAATTATTGCAAAAATTAAACAGTTTTCGAACGTGAAAACTAATTTACTATTAATCCGTCTAATTTAATTTAGATTATCGATTTTTTGAAAGACGGTCTTTCTAATTGATTAACCTTAATGGCCCTATTCAGGTAGGACAACATTATATCGTTTTGAAAAAATCTAAACATCTCCCTCCAGTTAAGGTTTCCTCAAAAAGTAAGAAATCAGGACAGCGGATATTGGGTATGCGACCTTCTTGCCCAATGTGGATTATGGGCCCAATACCGACAATTTTGTTTATTTACTTTTCCACTCAATGTGAATGTTCCCTCGTCGAAAAAAATAGTCTTCGCCATCGTAGTTAAATTGTTATTGGAAAAACTACGACTCATTGCTCGTGAATGAGGTTTACTTTATAAGAATAATATTTTGCAGTTTTTAAAATTTTATGAACCGTTGATCTATTAATGTCCAAATTCGACCCAATACCCATGACAGTAACATAAGGGTTTCCTTGCCCAGTCAAAACCACCTTTCTTTAGAACCTCGCCTGAAATCTTTGGCCGGGCAGACTTCGAGAAATCTTGAAGATGTATATGCTTTTTAAATTTAGTCACAGCTGGCGTTACCATACTAATGAGCTAAACAGCTTTCAATCAGGAAATGTTGCATTAAGGAGGTCAACTACAGTGAAATTCCTCTAACTCGAACTTCTATGTCTCGAATTATCCTCTATGTAGATTAATTTTCGTAAGGTCAAGCGTTTGACTAGGTTTAAATGTGTTTTTATCTCTCTAAGGCTCGTTACTACCATCTTCTGGTTAAGCTATCTAAAGGATTATTACCACGGTTACAGCTATTTCACGCGCTCTGATTGGCTAGTAGATGGGTTTATCTATAAGATAAATTTAACTAAAAGATGGTAGTAATGGACCTAAGGCCCACTTTTACCATCCTTCTGATAAACTATCTAGAGGATAGTTGCCATGGTTACGGCGGTTTTAAGCGCTCTCATTGGCTAAGAACTGGATTTATCTATCGGATAAATTTATCAGGAGGTGGTAAAAGTGGGCCTAAGTCGAATTTCACTAACTCGAACTGAACTATTATGGAATTTCTTTAACTTTTACTTCTATAAATCGAATTTACCAAAGAATAAAATAAATAAATAAATAATAAATTCGAATCCGTTCTGTAAATAATTTTAACTACAGAATCTTTAACCAAAACAAACCTAATGTTCTTATTGTTTCAAAATCAGATGAGGGTGATGATAATCTTGAAAATGAAATACTTACCGCTTATTCCTCTCTTAGAAAGCTTGAAAGCTTTGTATTATCAATAGAGAATGTTCCAGATAATATTCATGATTCTTTACATTTCATAGAAGATTTTTTCGACAAAGAGCGATTATCCACTTTAAGCCAAAAGAAAATTACGGATTACTTTAAAAAACTTGATTAATTTTCTACTTACAATAGTATTAAGGTTGTGTTTTAAATATACGTATTAGAAAAGTACATTTCTAATTTTTTTCTTTAGAGCTGAAATTCTACTAATTTTTCTCTAACTCAAAGCCTCCATAACTGTACTTACTAAATCATTTTTTGACACTTAAAAAATTGTTTAAAATATTTGGTTACCACAGTTACTCATGGCTACTGCTATATTTTTTATCATGTTAACAAATTTGAAGTAGTTAAACTTTAAAGTAATTTTTCTCGAACATTTTGTCATGTAACCAATATTAATATTGATTGTACTAGATTCAGAAAAACATATTCCGTAATAAAAATGGGGGATTGCCATTTGAAAAAAAAATCGATGACGTCATTACTCGTGTAAAAATTGCGGAAAAAAATTTTAAACCTGTTTCAGGAATTTTTCCATAAACCGTTTATAATGATTTTATGGCTTATATCCATAATCCAGCTACTTTACGGACACTCTGTATAAATCTGAACCTGTCATATCGTTACGCCTCGGCCTTTACTCCTTGAAGATGAGGTCGCTTGGCCGAGGCGCTACAATCCACAACTTCATTTAATGAAGCCAAGATCGCTTGCGGCCGAGCTTAAGCATTAATATTGAATCAACCTGATATAAGTCTATAAATTGAAACATTATTGATCAATTTTTTAAATTTGCAGATTTTTACGGTTATCTTTAAGACAGTCTGAGAAATCGACTTCTTTGTTAGGATTTATGAAACTATCATAACTTGTAAACAAAACTATGTACTTTTTAATAAAGCAATCAGTTTTTGAAAATTCCAATTAGTTCTTGAGATATAAATCTTTGTACTTAATCATTTTTATTAATTTTGAAAGTTAACACATTTTCTTGGTTATCTTTAAAAATCTGGGAAAAATTGATTTCTTATTTGATTTTTATGAAACTAGCATAACTTGTAAACAAAACTATGTACTTTTTAATAGAGTAATCAGTTTTTGAATATTCCCATTGGTTCTTGAGATATAACTCTCTAAATTGAATCATTATTGATCAATTTTTTAAATTCAACAGATTTTCACGGTTATTTTTAAAACAGTCTGAGAAATCGACTTCTATGTTTGAAGTTATGAAACTACCACAGCTTGTAAAGAAAACTATGTACTTTTTAATAAAGCAATCAGTTTTTGAAAATTCCAATTAGTTCTTGAGATATAAACCTTTGCTCTTAATCATTTTTTATCAATTTTGAATGCTAACACATTTTCTCGGTTATGTTTAAAAATCTGGCAAAAATCGATTTCTTGTTTAATTTTAAAATTGTTTAAAATATTTGATTACCACAGTTACTCATGACTACTGCTATTTTTATCATGTTAACAAATTTGAAGTAATTAAACTTTAAAGTAATTTTTCTCGAAAATTTTCTCATGTAACCAATATTAATATTGATTGTACTAGATTCAGAAAAACATATTCCGTAATAAGAATGGGGGATTGCCATTTGAAAAAAAAAATCGATGACGTCATTACTCGTGTAAAAATAGCAGAAAAAATTTTTAAATCTGTTTCAGGAATTTTTCCATAAACCGTTTATAATGATTTTATGGCTTATATCCATAATCCAGCTACTTTACGGGCACACTGTATAAATCAGAACCTGTCATATCGTTACGCCTCGGCCTTTACTCCTTGAAGATGAGGTCGCTTGCGGCCGAGGCGCTACAATATACAACTTCATGTAATGAAGCCAAGATCGCTTGCGGCCGAGCTTAAGCATTAATATTGAATCAACCTGAAACTATTCATCATATTATGACGTCTTGGCGTTATTAGATAAAGTTGCAGATCTTTTAACTAATTAAGCCGAAATCGCTTGCGTAGTAATTAATTAAGATACAAGCTTTAAAAGTAACAAAATTGATTTGAAAAAAAAAATAACCTGTGAATTAAATCGCATTCCACATCCGTCCACAATACATCTAAATGGTTTAGTTCCAGCATGCGCCAACACGTGCCTTTCCAACCACGAACGAGAACAAGACTTGCGGCCATGAACTTTACATCCAACCCACAAACAGACGTACTGTTCTTCTTGAGCTGGTTGAGGTACAACGTGTACTAACTGAAAAAGAAATTGACGAAACATTAAATAAAAAAATTATTTAATAACTAATTGTTTAATAACCTGTAGATGTTCTAATAAAGCTCCACTGGCATCAAATAACGCTTGACATTTAGCCCAGTGACACACGACTTGATCGCTGGAGTGCGTCCTCTTCTCCTTAGTATTCGGAGGTTGTTGTTTGGCAGGAAACCGAATCGTTTTCGGTTGTGAAAGAATCGGAGATTTCTGTGCTTCGGACACGTGCTCATCATTCACACTTATTTCCAATGTATTGCTACTACTCGAGATCCCGCTGTCGGAGCTATCAGGAGTTGCCGGACCCAAACTCCCGCCTGTCACTGCTACCTCGGGTGTTAAAATGGTTGTTGAAGCAGTATCTAACGATGACGTTTCAATCGAAGACGCTTCACTACAAGCTTCGCTCGCCGCTTCGGAGGACGTCTGGGTCTTGAGGGTTTGATGGTGGATTGACGACGACGGGTGATGAGCTGCCGTCGAAAGACTAAGACTGGGAGGTTGTATTGATGGTTGTTGTTGCTGTTGTTTTGGTAAATTTAACACACTAAAATTCGACCCGTTTATTCTTGAAGGCAATTTTACGATAGGCACTACAGTGGCATTGAGCTTCACGCAACTATTAAAGTTGTTGAAAGGCTGGATGATGTTTAGGCACCGGTTGTCAATCGTGGTGAATTGGGGAACGAAGATGTTGTCGGGCGGTTTTGGAGCCTTTGCGTGAAGATACGTAAGATTCGGTGGAAACGCAACCGCTGTTAATGTCACCGCCGGGTGATTAATAAAATTATTAATAGATGAAGCAACCGGAATTTTACTAGGAGCCGGAAGGATTTTTCTAGGTATCGATGAAACAGACGGCGTAATCTTATTTCTTCCCTTATTCAAATTATTCTTTTTCGATTTCAATTGATTGCTTGTGGTTTTCGCGCTCGATTTAAAATATTCCGTTATCTTTCCTTGTTGCATTTTGGGAGCTATTGCGACCTCAACTTTCTTCTTACCACTATGTTTCGTAACCTTATTATTATTATTATTATTGTAATTATTACTTAGACTAGCATTTTCTTTAGGCAGTATTTGTGCGTGTGATCTAGTTGAATTCACTAAGATATTCAGGCAAGTTGGTGATGATGCGTTCTCTTTCTTTTCCCCGTCGATTTTTAGCCGTTTTTCCAACGCTTCTTTTTCGTCCGTGGGCCTTTTCGGCGGGGGATTCGCCTCCTCCGTCCACGACCACGGCGGATGGTGAGCACTTTGAGTGGGAGTCATCTTCGAACCGGAAGAATCTTCGCTATGACTACTCGTTACGCTAAACGGTGATCCCGGATCGGTGATATCACTGGTCGTGCTGCTTCCACTGCAATCCGTGCAACTCAATACCGCGACGCCACTGAAAACAAATCACAAAAAGATATCAGACCTCTTTCATCTATCCAATCATCTTTTAAACTAACAGAAACGAATGAATCAGTTTGCGTATTTTAACAGCCGCGACGTGATTCATCGCGAAAGATAATGATGTGCAAGACGTAATTGTTATGACGATGACGTTGTTACAACGAATTGATTACTTGATTGGAAATGTTTAGCTGCTGGGAAAAACGTCGTTTGACGGAAAATTTATCGCGGGAAAAGATCCCCTAGTTGCCGTTTATCTTGGTAATAATTATAAAGTGAAAGGATTTAAAAATTAATGCGCGATTTGTGAACGGGTGATGTTGATGTTATATAAATAACTATAAAAAAATTATGTTTCGAATTTAAATTCTTCTAGAAATAATCAATGTTATAGTATGTTAATCAGAACTAAATAAATAACCATTCGAATGGTTAATTAACAAGATTGGTTTTATCGCATAAAATAATAATAAAAAATATATATACACGGCGATTCAAAATTAATAAAAAATCGAAGACTTGATTCTTTACGAATTTAACATAAGATTCGGAATAGACCTGTATAATTAGACTTTTAATAACACCAACCGGGAAGTTCACGAACTAACATTAAAAATATAAGTACGAAGGCTTTCACGGCCGGTGTAAATTAAACTAAGATTAGAACTAAAACTAGAAACTTTCGGGTTTTACCGTGCGTTTTTTAATAAAAGATTTGACGTTTCGGATGCCATGTTGCAACCTTCTTCAGAAACTGGTTCGAAGTGACGAGATCAAAAAATCGGTAACTATATATAAGTCGGAAAAACTAATTAATAATCAGTTAACGCTAATTACAAACTAATTAATAACTAATTGCGTCGCGTCCGGTGTGAGGCGGGAAGAGGTCTTCGTGTTCACCACCATCTTCCATATTCTGCTAAGCTCCCAGCCATCCTCTCTGTTGACGTTATTTTTATGTCGGTGAATCTCTATGGCTTCTCTTGTCAGTCTTTGGTAGTATCTGTTGTCCCTAGCCAGCACCTTTGTTTGTTCGAAGTTTATTCGGTGCCCCTCTGCATGGCAATGTTCCGCAACCGCCGAGTGCTGGATCTTCTTCAGCCTTACATCCCTCTCATGCTCCCACAGACAAAATCGTTAGAAAAATGAAGGAACTGATAAAATCCACAGGAATTCCAGCAAAACAGCAGAAAGGTTTGTTTGTGCCACCAAGAATCTACGGACTACCGAAGATTCACAAACCAGACGTCCCCCTGCGCCCTATCGTCAGCGCCATCAACTCTGTCCCCCTTTACAGGTAACACGGAATCGTATGTCAGGGATTCTACACATTTTGTGGAATCGGTAAAAGGTGTAAAGCTGGATGCTGGGGATATGTTGGTAAGTTTCGATGTGGAATCCCTTTTTACTAGGGTACCAGTTAAGGATGCTGTAGAGGGTCTTCGCCGAAAACTCATTCCGGAGGGTTTACCAGGATACGTGCCAGATCTGGTGGAGTATTGCTTATCGTCGACGTATTTCAGCTGGAAAGGAGAATTTTACGAGCAGTTCGAAGGGGCAGCCATGGGATCTCCACTATCGCCAGTTATAGCTAATTTCTACATGGAATTATTCGAAGAGGACGCTTTGAAGAAGAGCCAGTGGAAACCAAAACTATGGCTCCGATATGTGGATGACACGTTTGTGATATGGCAACATGGTCAAAAACGGCTCCAAGAGTTCTTGGATCACTTGAACTCTCAACATCCTATGATTAAGTTCACCATGGAAACAGAAACTGCCAAAAAACTACCTTTCCTAGATGTGTTGGTCACCAGGACGACAAATGGAGATATAGAACTTGGTGTATACCGAAAGAAGACCCATACCAACAGGTATTTACAGGCATGTTCACATCATCATCCCCAACAGAAGAGGTCCGTGATCCGTACATTATTTCAGCGAGCAGCGAGACTATGTGAAGGAGAGAACTTGAAGAAGGAGCAACACTTTCTACGAGGCGTGCTGCAGAAGAATGGATACACTTCGAGGGACATCAACCAGGCCATCAAGCAGCGAAAGCAGAAAGAGGACACGGTAAGTACAAAACCACTTGGATTTATCTGTCTTCCCTATGTTTCAGGTGTAACGGAACGAATTGCTAGGCACCTCAAGAAGAACGACATCGTAGTGCGGTACGGCACGGTCAGCAAAATTCGGAACACACTCCCGATAGCCAAGGACAAACTAACTCCATTAAAAGGAGCGGGAGTCTATCGACTATCGTGTAGTTGTGGGAAGGTTTATGTTGGCCAAACTGGACGCAACGTCGAGTGCCGCATCAAGGAGCATGAGAGGGATGTAAGGCTGAAGAAGATCCAGCAGTCGGCGGTTGCGGAACATTGCCATGCAGAGGGGCACCGAATAGACTTCGAACAAACAAAGGTGCTGGCTAGGGACAACAGATACTACCAAAGACTGACAAGAGAAGCCATAGAGATTCACCGACATAAAAATAACGTCAACAGAGAGGATGGCTGGGAGCTTAGCAGAACATGGAAGATGGTGGTGAACACGAAGACCTCTTCCCGCCTCACACCGGACGCGACGCAATTAGTTATTAATTAGTTTGTAATTAGCGTTAACTGATTATTAATTAGTTTTTCCGACTTATATATAGTTACCGATTTTTTGATCTCGTCACTTCGAACCAGTTTCTGAAGTAGGTTGCAACATGGCATCCGAAACGTCAAACCTTTTATTAAAAGACGCACGGCAAAACCCGAAAGTTTCTAGTGTTAGTTCTAATCTTAGTTTAACATTAAAAACTTTTGATGACATTGATTTAATTGCTAATTCGTGGATTAGAATAAGAATTCTTAGTGGATACAAAAATGTTTTATTTAGTTACGTGTCCTAACTCAATTAAACCCAAAAATGCTATTCTCTAAATGCACATGATCTAATTATAGAAGATTTGGCGTTATTGGCGAAAACACACAACCACTATTGCAAATAAAGCCGACGCCTAGCAATTGATTCATTTAGAGCCTCGGTCGTAAGTGACCTCGGTTTACCTTAGAATAAAGAATTTATGATCTGATTAAGACGAGGTCGCTTACTGCTATATGTTAACCCAGATCTGGTTAACACAGTACTATGGTAAAGATATTTAATTTTGGTTTAAAACTGTATAATTGATACAAAAAAAAGGCACCAGTTGATATCAAACATCAAGAGACAAACACTGATAAAATTTCTAGGTCAATGTCTAGATAATCTAATAACTCGAAATGTTTTATTTAAATCGAATCTAAAATTAACTAATCGTAAATTTATAAATTACTTTTTATAAAAACAATTTAAAATATCTACCAAAACGAAACCGAACGAATGCAGGGTTCAGGTAAGTTACGTAGAAGCCATTATTTTCGCCATCACCGGATGCACGCACATTATCAAACATCGTTTCACCACGCAAGGGATAATTTTGAAACTTTGCGTACTAAGAAATTAATAAGTGAAAATAAACGGTAAATTGTTGTTGAGTTTTGAATAGTTTAGGAGCTGCACGAATACGTCACAACGGCACAATCAGCTTTGTAACACTGCACACGCTGCTCTATTAGTATTTTTACCCTCTGTCCCCTCCTGGTTCGCCTCGGGATATTGTCAGTTTCCGTCTAGTCTCGTTCTTTACCTGCAAAGAGCGTAGGGTTTTTTGGAACAATCCGGGACCGGATTTTTACTACCCGTTTCTAAACAATACCCGAAACATATAGAATAAAAAAAACTAAACAATATTTAGTAACAAATTACTAAATTATAACTAAAAATTCGTAGAAAACGAACCTTCCCAAAGTCTATTTACCAAGGACAACAATAAAATATACCCTCTTTCCTGGGATATAACGTTTTGAAGGACCCTTCTTGACAAATATAAATATGTCCGCGGAGGGTTTTATAAGTTTTTAGGGTTTCTTTATATTTGCTTTTCTATAGATTAACTTTCCAAGAATTGAAATAATACATTCGAGCCCAACGAAAGCCGTTATTAGCGCCTTTTGTTTCTTGACGACGACGTTTTCGACTAAAAATAAACCGGATGTACGCGTCGGGAATGAAACGACACTTGAAAGTTATCGATTGGGGGCTGTGCCGAGTGGCCATTTCTTTTGTCCGCGGTTAGATTTAATAAAATTAACCGTACCCCCGTTTCGGGTAACCTCTCTCGTAACAGCACTCAAGAACTGACACGAGCATGGATATAAATCGACAAAACAACAACGTTTGTTGTTTAAGTATCCGTAATTAGACGGGAAACTTTTGAAAAGAAACTCAAACAATCGACGTTATTATTATAAATCCTATGTTTAGAAATTGTTATCACCGCTTTACGTTTCATAAATCAATCGGCTTCAACACGATAATGAGAGTTGAAAACGCTTTTAACGTCTCGCGTAGGTTATCAACTTTGGCGTTTATTTATAGAAAATTTTTAATTTTGAGGTTGGGTTCAGTTAAAATCTTTCCTGGTAAAGTACAAGTAATGTTATAATGGGATTTCTTGCGATGCGATGATTTACTTTGGATTTCATTAAAAAAGAATAATTCACTTTAAAATATTTTCAAACCGCAACGTTTTTACCTTTTTTGTGTTTCTATTAAAAGTTATTGTTTTAACCACAAATATTGCTCATATTTTTTATCGATACAAATATGTGATTATTTTTTTATCAAGGAATTATAATATATATAACATAATGCTTATCTAGACTCATCCAATATAGTTTAAGCTTAAAATATTATGAGTGAATTGAATATCTACTTAACACTAGGTGGCAGCAACTTGTAATTTTTCGAATTTGGGATCGATTTAATTTTATCGCTTCTTTAATATAACATTAACAACATGTATTGATGTTATCAATTCATGATTGTATGCTAATCACAACGTTAATCGTGCGTTACGCTTGGTTTGGCAGTACGTTAACTCAAGAAGAGGTATTACAT